CAGTGTACCTGGGCTTCCGCAGGGATAATTTCAAAGAGAAGCTTTTCCTGCGAGTGCATGGAAATTAAACATATGAATGAGTGAGGCAAGAGAGACCGGGGAAGAGGGGTGAGAAGCATGGACAGGCAGGGAATGGGGGATCAACAGAGAAGAAGAAAGGTGATTCTGGTCTGAGCTGGCCACTCCCATGTTCCTGGGTCCGCTCATGCATCACTTCCAAGCAGTTTTTCTCAACCTTGGCCATTTGCCGAGGGGTGAACTCCACCCCCCAGAATCCCCCAGCCAGCCATGCTGGCTGGGGAATTTTGGGAGTTGAAGTCCACTCATCGTCAAGTGGCCAAGGTTGAGAAACACCGCTTGAAAGCAACACTTCAGGCTTCACAAACTACAGCACAGGTACACTGTTTGCTGTTGCGCTTACTCCTCCTTTACACAAACAAGGAACAAAATAGGAAAAGAAGATCTTCGTATCACGCTTGAAGCCAGGATTACAAAGCCCTGTTAAACCAAGATTTTTAACTTGGGGACCCTTTAACTTTCTTAACGAGACTTGTCCGTGGAAGGACATGGGTATGGTTGGACCTACTGTACAATAATGCTTAGCGACAACACACACACTTCGTTTCCGGGGAAGAAAAGGTCCTAGCTGGAAGATGACGCACTCTGCTGTTACTGCAAATTAGCATTTGTGCAACCACTACACGATTCGAAACTGGCTGAGTTGCAGTTAATTACATCTGTATTCTGTGCGCTAAAGCTCACTCCTGTGAAAAGCAACCAGTCTGATATTGTCCCCTGAGCTATGTAACTAACTGAACAAGGGTTCAAATCCTGGTTCCTCCTAGTCCAATCATACCCAGTATTTCTCCCACCGCCCCACATGCTTAGTAACAGGTGCAAAGAAAAATCTGTCAATAAGAGATCAAGCAGTGCTTACTTAACTGTGTGAAAATCAGTCTCAGAAAAAGGAAATAATTTGCAGGGAGGGGAGGGGAGAGAAATCAGAAGTGAATATTCGGTGGGGGGGGGAACACGATGAAGATGGTTGGGAAGGACTATACCAAACATTCATATTTTCCATGTTTTTTACCTGGTCACATCTGGAGCTACCGTGGGACGAACATGTTTCATAATGGTCTGGATCCAGTTCCGGCGAATTCCAGATGTCATAGCAGAGAGCGTGAACTTGCCTTCTTTGGTCTAGGAAAAAAGAAGGGGAAGAAGTTATGGCTGAGTATCCCTCTAGTACATATGCTTCTGGAAGGAAGGTTCTTCAGATTTCCTGCTGGCAGCTCCCATCTTTCTAAGGCACATTCCTCAGTGAGATTCCAGAAGAAAGAACAGAAGGAACAGAAAGAAAGGGTTCTTTTCTGGTTCTGTTTTCCAAGAAACGTTCACGTTACTTCAGATTGTAGCAGACCATATACTGAATGGCTCTCTACAGGGGCCATGGGTGATGGGAAGGGTCTGGACCAGGCTTCTCCCCCTTAACACCACCTTGCGAAAGAGGTGGGACCTTCACAGCCTGAGGAACTCACTTGTCCATAAACTAGGTATAATAATAACAATTACAACAAGGAAAACCAACCCTGCAGCATTAATTAATTAATTAATTAATTTATAGGACTTCTATGACTGCCTATCTCATACAATGACTCTAGTCACTTTGCATAAGGGGTCGGTTTAAGGTCCTTATTTAGAAGTTTTCTAACCTTTCTATTTATCGTTTGATAGATTCTTACATGGATCTGGAAACCATAGTTCCGTTGGACTGGGTATTCCGTGACATCAAAACACGTTGACAAGTCAATTTCCCCATCCAAATCGGCTGCCTGAGAAAAGAGAAGAAAGGCATAAGACTGGAAAATGGATAAGCCAATGGTCAAAAGGGTATGCTAACTTCTTTCTTTATACATCACTCAGCATGTTACAAAACACGAGAGTATGGAATCCTATCTACCTGACGTCTGAAAGTGGACACAAAGGGGGGTGGGTGGGAGAGAAGGAAATGGAGGTGGCGTTAATGTCAGAACAGGTCCACCAAGGCCAAGTTCTCAGCCCCAACCCCAACCCCAACCTACCTCTTCTGCTACAGAATCCCGGTAGTATCTCAGGCTTTGATCCGTCAGCACAAACCAGTGTTTCTTCCACTACAGAAGAAACAAGACAAGCCATTTTACAGATTGCTTTCTTCCTAAGATGGGAAAACTAGTTTCTTAGAGAAGTAGGGAGGGGTGTGTGTATGTGATGTTTTAACAAAAAGGTTCCCCTTCTTTCTAGCATCCTGTATGCTGACCTGGGAGGAGAAGATTTGTTTTTGTTCTCACAATCCCATCTGCAAGATGAAGCAAATGATAAAGCTAGCATTCGGGTCACGCCCGCTGCTCCAGCATGTTACAATCTCAATGTAGGGCACAAAGAGAATACAGGCCACATTGCAAAAGAAGACACTGGTTTGTGGGCTTCCTGAAAGAATTGAACTGCTGTTTTTGGAAGGAGATACCAGGCTTTTATTGTGACCAAGATCAGTGCCCTTCTGATCTTCAACTGCACAGAAGGTGGACCATTTAAGGTGCCACTTGTATGCACCATGAGAAGGAAGATCCTTTGTATTCAGCCATATCTGTGTTTGTAGCTTGATTGTTTCTCAGTTTAGAGATATCAAAGTGTTCTCCAATTTATTGATTTAATTAATTCGGTTTATAGGGCTTCCCATCTCAAGCACAGGACTCCGGATGGCTCACAACATTAAATTAATGTTAATAAAACTGAAAATGTGAAACAGACTCCACATATGAACACTATAACTTTTTGGCTGAACAAAAAGTCATCTCTGATTCATAGGGCAAGCCTTTTCTAATCTGTTGATTATTCTTAAAATGCAAAGATTGTAACTACAGACAGCAATTTGGCCTTCAGTCTCAGATACAGGAAAAATCTTCTGTTAAGACGTTACGTCTGTGTCAAAGTATTCATGTGCAATTTAAAAGTGAAATACGATTGTTTCACCCCAGAGTTTTCACACAGAGACATTCCTCCTCTAATAGGTAGACTAAATGCATTCTCACTGCTATTTTTGACATGTTAAGCTAGTAGCCTCAGATGGGTGAAAGTTGGTTAAAAAAGGATTTATATGTGATCGTTATACGGTGGTCCCCAGCTTAAGAACGACTGCTGTTCCCAAGGTCTGTCCTTAAGTTGAATTTGTATGTAAGCTGGAACAGTATTATTGTATGATACTGTATAAGCAGAATTGTGTAATTAACTTGAACCATTCTGCATTTAACTCAAATTTTGCTACAACAGGCTCCGTTCTTAATTATGGGATGTCCTTCAATCACACGTTCTTAACCTGGGGACTACCTATATCGGTCATTCTTCTGTCAATGTTATGCTGGGAGAACTTCTGCATCCAAACTAGGCAGAAATAGCTACCAGTCTGAGAATTCAGATTGTTCCTCAATGGCTATTATCTCCAAGGCGAAACACCATCTCCTGTGGCTTACCCAGGAAAACAGTGCCCCTGAAACGTACCTGCCCATCTTCATCCTGTTTTGTCAGCCATCCCTTTTTGAAGTTCAACAAATCTGGCTACAAAGGACAGAAGAGAATTTAGCATTCTTCCCCTCATCCCAAATCAGATGGCTTATAGTATATAAAAGAAATCCTGACATATTTCTCCTGTGGTTCCTCAGGCAAAGAACCTTTCATGCCAAGAGCTCTTGCTCTGAAAATTCATATCAGAAGGAAAGTGCCCAGTAGCCAATAAAGCAGATCCAATACACTTAAGGAAAGATACAGGAAGGGGTGAAAAAGAAGAGTTTGATTTCCTCCTTTGAATGCAACCTTCCTTCAAGAAGAGGACTATCTCTTACCTATATTCTTCCCCATTTTCACTCAGAAACAGATCCTCCCGCCATTCAGAGATTCAATGCAACCAGAGAGAACCTTGGTATCAAGGGAGATATAACCTTCCCTTCTGGAGGTAGGCCAACATAATGATCTACCCCTGCACCCACCAGAGGCTAAGGGACAATCCTTGTGTAAGAAACGGAACTTGGGGATTTGGAAAGCAATTCTGATGCCCCCCCCCTCCCTGAAGCTGAACTAGCGTCATGTTTTGTCATTGTACTAGATAGACGCTTGCTGGTTTCTCTCTACTGAAGCTCCATGATACAAGAAGAGCAGAAAACCTTCTAACTATGAGACAGGTTGAGACTCTGTGGAAGCTTCACAGCTCAGAACCCCCAAACTGCTGAACTTACAGTCATGGAGGACTCTGTAGACCTTCTGTCCAGTGATTTAGCTCTCCGGTGTGGAGACAAAGGAGAAGTTGAGACATCCAGGATGGACCCACTTGCTGTTTCAGCAACTAAATCCTGCAGGAAGCATGAAAGGTACATGGTCATCAGATTCAGGACTGCAATTTTGATTAATAATTAAGAGAAGCTCAACCGTTCATCTCCAATCTCTCATACTTCACTTGCGTTCTTAGTTTAGACACCAATTCTCTGAGGAAGAGAATTTCAGCCTATCAGTTATTATAATTCATTCACATGGTACCTTGTAAAAACTTTTGGGGGGTAAGGTGTCCAGTTCATCTGACTGAAGGAGAAAGATAAATCCCCGCCCATTAGCTATTTGCAAATGCTTCCTTTTCTGATCAGCTGAAAAATAATCCTACTTATCATAGGAGACCAGGCTGCCAATCTTTTTCTATCTTAAACCACTGCGTTCAAGCTGTGGGTTAGCTTTGCTTCTGTGGGGAGGGATGAATAAAGAAGCTAAGAAATGGATTAGAAAAAACAGCTCAGACTGGGATGGGTCTACACCCTACAGCTACAGAGAAGGTTGTAGAACTCTGTAATTCTAAGACTTCAGAGCTATGGAAAGTGTTATTCTATTTTGCACTGATACTTATAAACGGGATTCTCACTCTAAGCCAAGAACATGGTATCAATCCAGCAAGGCAGTTCTATCAGAAGCCAAAAGAGATCATTTCGCCAGCTCACCCGTTTCCTCGGGAAAACCCTTTTTTCGCTCCTGCCTTGCCGGGTTTCGCTAGAGAGAGCAGGACCGGAAGAAGCATTGATTTCCATGTGTTCTGCATTCTCAATATCCAATGCCTCAAATTTTTCAATTACTTGGGCCCGCCTGGGAGACAGAGAAGAGAGAGGGCATGGGGATTTTAACCAAGGGAAGGAGAGGCCACCCTTGACAGTCAGAACAGTTCCAGCCCTCCCTCCTATCCAGGTAACACGTTCAAGGTATTGAGATAATAATGCTTTCCTCTCTTTATTATCTTTCAGTCCTGTCCTACTACACAGACTCATTGGGTGGGGAGAGAAAAACAGGGAAGAAAGAATCATGTAATCGTAAGTATAAATTAGCAGCACAGAAGGGATCCATAATGTTCCAAAACATCAAGAGCTGGACTGCTCTGCAACGCAAGAACTTGGGCATCAAATCCTTGTTCCTCTCCACCATGAATCAAGCCATTATCATCTTTACAATGAAAATTTCCCTGTCCATTACAGGAGGGAGGACCAGTTTGGCGGCCTTTTTGAACAGGCGGATTCCAATCTTCAGGGATGGCCCAAAAGCCAAACATTTGCACTTGAAGCTAAAAAGGAGCGTGGCACGCTCAGTCAGCCTAAAAATGTTCTCAGATCAGTGTTTCTGAAATCAGAACACAGCTGAGGACTTGTCCTCTGTAAGTGAAATCAGCTGTGGAAGACGGCCAAACTGACTTTGCAGACACTTGTGCTCACAATTTTGTCTTGATGTCAGGAGTGCCTGCAGGGGGCAAAAAAGTCCAGATGCTGGCCATGATCACAAGTCAAAGCCACCCTCGTGACTTCTTTTAAGTCTCCCCTCCTGCAGATGCCCCAGACTGATGCTTCACCTTCTAGGGCCCAAGGTAGCCATAAAGCAGGGTTCTTCAACCTCAGCAACTTTAAGATGGGTGGACTTCAACTCCCATGAATTGAATGGCTGGGGAATTCTGGGAGTTGAAGTCCACCCATCTTAAGTTGCTGAGGTTGAGGAACCCTGCTATAAAGCATTCCCTTTTTCTATTGTGTGAGCGAGCTGCATTCACACATATATAATTCTTATTCATTTCTGATGACAAAAATCTGCAAAGGAGTAGCAGAGCCCGGCACAAAAGGTTGATACAGAGGGTCTCTCTTTTGTCCAGCATGTGGTTCCTCATCATCTCCCCCACCCAACATCCCACATACAGAAGGACCTCTTGCCAAGAACATTTATGGAGTTCTCCATCACCCTGAAGCACTTCCCCAACTTATGAGCCAACTGCATGAAACAGGAACCAGCCCACTTCATTAAGCAGAAAGCAGAGACAATTTGGCTTTTTAAAGCTTGAAAGTGCATAGGTTTTTCTCCTTTTTTAAGGCATTATGGTGATAAGACTGTCATTGTGTGAGACCTTTCGGTGAAGCACATGGATCAGGTAATCAAAAGCTTTCCCAGAAAATTGGGGGGCGGGGGGTGACCTCTGAGTTTTCTTGCTGGTTTAAAGCAGCAAGTTCAAATCTGTCATCCTTTCTACTAATATCTAGCATGAATCCCATTATGGGTCAGCTATTTAATGAAATTCAAGTGGTAAGCTTCATAAGCCAACTGTTATGCTTTAGTATTTAGAACATGCCTAACGAAGTCATACATAGTCTTGGTTTACATATGAACCAACGTCGGCGTTGGTCAACCTGGGCTTTAAATGCTGCCGAGAAAGAAAGTGGCTAAAACCCAATTAATTTCAAGCTCTCAATCCCCAAAGCCGAGAAGGGCATTTTTAAATTCAAAAACAACCCTCCTTCAGATGTGGGAAATGTAATGAGAAAGCTACAAACAGTCCATATTTTTAGAATAAAAAACATCTTGAAAAATGCATAATGCAACGCTGCACAAAGCAAGGGAATAATGATTTTAATATCTACTTTTGTTTTTTCCCTTGAAGGACCATCCTTAAATTCTTATTCTAAACACCCGGATGGAACTCCAATGGAGTTTACAAACTGATGGGCTAGAGCAGTGTTGTCCAAACTTGGCCACTTT